ATCGATATATCGGCGGTGCTTATTATTCATGTTATTGAAGCAAATTTTATTCTGGTTCTCGCGCACATTTAAAGGACTTTTTCATACGGCAAATTTTAAATTACCATATAAATTGCTCTCTTCCAGCAACTACTAAATAATACCTTCAAAAAACACCAGATGGAGACTATTAAGTTAATCCTTAATATAATTCTATATGTTTTACTGTGAAATTAAAATGACAACACAAGGTTATTAAAGAATCTTGCCCAATATTGTCAATTTTGGAGTAACCAGAAAATAGAAGTCGTAAAAAAGAGCAACAGAGCCGACAAACGTCGTTTTTGTTTTGGGTTGCCCTTGTTGTTGCCTTGGTGATGTGATGTATCACAGTTTTATTAATTTCCAAACGTTGTATCGTCAGCCCGGAGACAAATCTTGATATGCGTGGATCAGGTCAAATTGGTTTAAACAAAAAAACAAAATAGCCGACTTTACTTCTGTTTCGTTCAGAATTTGTGAATTGAATATCAAAGTAAACCATTTTGTCTCGGTTATCATTTAAAAAAAAACTTGTTTCCAATTACAGTTCCTGACTCAAAAATTAATTTTGAAAAAAAACCGGGTTCAGTTCTTTGTGTAAGGCAAACATTTTGATATTTTAGACCTATTACAGCTTTTGTTTATCATAAAAGAAAAAATTACATGTCTGATTTAAAAAGAAAATCCTGTATTTCTGAGGTATTGGACTCATGAATAGTTGTCTTTAAGGTCAGTCAGTCAAAGAAAAGAAAAAAATAACTTCATCAAATGATAAAAAAAAAATTCCCAACTGAAATATGTCATCATCACCATTTAAAAACAAAATTCAGAAAAATCCTTTTCTCGCCTTTTTGTGTAACATTTTGGCAAGGGAGCTTTTTACAAACTGAATTCTGAAAAAAATCCCAGTAATCCTTTGCTAAAGGCTAGGCTGTAAAAGTGCAAAAGTGCAGCAGCCTGCTTCAGGGCAATTCGCATATATCGATTATTGGAAATGATAAGAATTAATTTGTTTGATATAACACGCATTTTTTCATCCAGTGTTTCATCGAAAAGCAGTCCCTAAAAGAAAAGTTGTTAAATTGTGTAGAGTTTGGTGGGGACAGCAATTTCATTTAAAAAAAAAAAAAATTTTAACAAAAAAAAAAGCTTGATTTTTAAAATGAGCTGGAGCATGCAACGTGACAACTTGCCCTATGAGCCAAATAAATAATAATAATTAAAGTAGCTTTTTCTATTTTTAACCATACAAATAGATGTATGAAAACTAACCGTTGAATGTAAAGGCCTGATATGAAAAAGTGTCCAAAAGTTTTTAAAAAAATAAAAAATTGAGGAAGAAGTGGAATTCGTTAACTGGACCTGAAAAATGACAGGAGAAAATGTCACCAAAAGTCTGGTGACCCAATTGCGAAACCAGACATGCTAATTTGTGTACATGAAATCTAATATTATTACCAGACAGTAGCAATGTATGTACTTTATACATACCGGTTCACATGCCTCTTTTCATTTTTCAGGATTAAGAGCCATTTCAGACTGTAATCCACGCGATTGCAAAAGCAAATCGAATTTGACGTCACGATGCATTCGCTGTGAAATCCCTGGAAATTCTGCGAACTTCGGGACAGAAAAACAAATTTGTGTTCGCATTCGCTTTCCAGCCGAGTACAAACCGGCTGACCGTTGTATGAATATTACTATGGAAGCTCTGCGTTATTTCTACAGTGTTGGCTAAACGTTTAAACAATGCATGAAAGTGTGGCAAAATGTTGATCGAAAACATGGGTTCTCATTCTAATTGTGCAAACACATGTAAAGTGTATTTTCGCACCATTATGGCAGTGTTATGCTTACATGTACACATGTACATGTATATTCATAAGATAGGTATCATTAGCTGCATTGAGCAATCTGCAATGTGTACAGTACGCTAACGGCAATTTTCCATTCATTTTTTTCTTTTCTGTTTTTCAACGAGGCGGCGTGCTGCCTCTCTGACGAACAGATGTTTTTGATAGCTGGCCAGACTCACGCCGAATTATAGCTTAAATACAGGTGGATTGAAAAACAATCTTGTATGCAAATTAACTACTGAATTTTTTCCCTTCAGGTCCCCCCCCCCCTCAACGTCAGCCTAACGATGGTTAGGTTGACAGGTGCATGGACAATCTTTTTGTCTCCTGTTTAATGTCAATATTTGATTTAGGCAATCACTTATGCAAATTAGCAGATCTCGCTTTTTCCGGGCACACACATTTTTTTTTTCTTATTAAATTTTATATTGGGGGGGGGGCAAATTTTGAACGATTGTGAATTGGTATCCGCCTGTGACTCTGAAAAAAAAAATTCAAAATGCAAAATGTGCATTTTGGGATGTAAAAAAATGCTTTAGCCGCATACATGTACATGTACGTACCGCGGTACGTATGTACCGTATGCACAAAACTAATCTTAGAATTACGAAGAAAATTTACACTGCATTTAGCTACATTTGTGTACAGGGTGAGTAAAAAAAACCCGAAACCCAAATGTTGCGACCATTGTTTTAGTGAAGTTCTGCATGTAGCACTTTCAAAATCTAGGATATGAAAGCCCAATTTATAAGCTTTCTTTCAGTACATGAATCATTCAAATCACTCATGTACTTTTCAAGTTACAGAGTTTTAAACACAACCACCGTTTTAAGGTTCTGTCCACGGATCCCAAAAAAGTTCAGTGTTCCTTCAGCAAAACGAAAACAAATCACATAGGGATGTGTGTGAATTGTTTTTGTGATCCGTGGACAGAACTGACATCTAAAACAGTGATAATATTGTGCACTTACGTATACATGTATACTTTGTACTCTGTGCTTGACATGCACACATTTAAAACAAATTAATATAAATGATAGTTAATACAAATGATAGATGATAATTTGTAGAAATGATCTCATTTTGTTGTATTTGTGCACAGGATTTCGCAAATCGGAAATTTGTTCCCTTTGACAACGTATCGTAATTCTGTCAACTTTTGTTTATTCCGATTATCAATTTTTTTTTTTTACAAATTTACAATTTTCACAACTCCCTGTCATGTTTTAAACTCAATTTCTTCATAACAATTGTCATACCACATGTGTAATAAATTAAGTCAACTTAAAAACGAAACACACTTACATGCTGTATTGAAAAAATTGGTTTGTTTGTTCCTGTCAGTCTTCTGTCATTTTGTTTGTTTGTCTTTGGTGTTTTCTCATTGGTCTGTTGGTCTGATTAAAAGCAGTCTTGTTTTAATGTCTATTTGTTTGTCCCTTTCTCTTTCAAAGACATTTTTTGGTTACCCAACCCATATTTTACGAACAACTTGTTGCATCCAACAAAATCCAACATTCACAGAATTTACGAAGATTGGTGGATCGTAAATCACCAAATAAAATTTCCCATTTTTCAAATAAACCCAAAAGTTCTTTATTTAACTTTGAAAAATTGATAATAATTTATTCATGCCTAATACCGGTACATAATTTGCTGTACATGTAAATCTTAGCCAAATTTTGTCTTTCAATTTATTGGTGTAGTTACAGTGTTTTCTTGTGTCAAAAGTTCCATTTCATCATGACCACTTTACATGTATAGTTGTGTGATTTTGCACTTTGTACGAATCTTGATTTGCATATTTATAAGAATGACTGTACTTTTGATTTTGAATTTTGTGAAGGAAGTTTTCTGCATGACGAATGTACGTACCGATTTGTGCTACTATTTTCTGTTGACGAGACTTTTTCAAACAGTTGCCATCTTGTACTCATCAGGAATTATTACGTCTATGGCTACGGCTATTATCTTTAGTTGTAATGGCAAAAAAGCCATAGCCACTAACTACCTGATTCTGAGCGGCTAAAGACTTCACAGGCCTGTGTACAAAATGGACTGGTGCCTTGTGAATGGATCCACAGTGATCCCAACCATGCCCAAGGGAACTAGACAAAATGGCCACCGGCAGCTATGTTGGATTGGGAGCTCCTCTGCATGCAGAGACCATGTAGCGGGGTGCAGACCAATATAGACCCCATAAACCTCAGTAATAATTCTGCGCACTTCCAAAATTTATTAAAAATACTCGCAACTCTCCAAGGTGTTTGAGACACCCATCAAATTATAGCTTATTTCATCATCTTCTATTTTTTGTTGAATTTACAGGTGGCAATCTAATGACTTTTGGGAGAAAATTCCATCCAGAGATGATCACCCCTAAAAGTAGTCATGTGGCCCATTACCATTTTGCAAAATGATGCCTGCGCTCCAATGCAAAATAGAGCAATTTAAGGGCCAAATTTTATCAAACTTTCACAGGAATACGAGCTCGCAGTCCTGTGCACGGCTTCCACCCTTCTTTTCTACAAACCTTGAAGTTCATGACCCACAAAATGCTCTAAAAGCAAAATTGATGTAATACAAATCGTGATTGGCCCACATAGGCAATTTTGGGCGTATTTACCGGTCTGCACCCATAGTATAGAGGGAATATATTTTGCTGTTCAAAACTACTGTGTTACACCCTGTGGATTACTACTGTTCTAAGAATACCACTGTGAGAATTACTACAAAAAACTGCTAAGCAAATTTATTCAGTAAGCAAAAATCAGCTGGGTACCAGTGACAAGCAATATACATTACATGACATTTTGGCCGGTAAACTGTTTTTGCTTAGCGAATATTTTCTGCACTTAGCAGATTTCTTCACATGGCAGCTCCAGGTGGTTTTTCCATTAAAGTATATCCCACTGTTCTGTGGAAATGCCATATATTGGAAAGGCAGCCAAGTATGGCATGTTCCGCTCATTAATTATTCGTGGAAATTATCATAAATGTATCACATTTTGAAATCGCATGTACAAAGATGGCAACTGTAGTCTCAATTTTGCCGTTTTGCATGCTTTTGGTGTTATTTTTTTTTTTTCTATTTTGATTTTGCTTCTCTTCCAACAAGCGTAGGTGGCATGCCTGTTAAGGTCCCGCCCAGGAATTCTCATGAAACTCCGCCCCCTGCATGCAAACCTAGCACCCAGGAAGAGCCGGCACTCCGCAATACGGCAATGATGATGAGGACTCGTTTCAGGCGATGTACTTTTTCCCCTTTCTTTACTTCTAAGTTCTATCTACATTTTTACCCTTAAAAAAAAACAGGGCCTTAATTTCATGGACTTGCTAGCAGGAAACAAAATTGCTTAGCAGGTTTACACGCTTAGCAAAAATCTGCCGGGAACCAATAACGTGCAGTGTACACGGCATGTTATTTGAGCAGGTAACCAATTTTCGCTTAGCAGATATTTTTCGTGCTTAGCACATTTTGTGCTGAACAGGTCCATGAAATTGGCCGATGAGTTGTAAGAGATATTTCAGGTGAGCAACGAAAATCAAGGAATTTGGTTCTCTCTTTTTGTGACGAGGATTTACAAATGTTAAAAGAAACGGTCGTTGATTTTTGCTGCTTATTTTCAAGCGTGTACTATGAGTCAATCACAAGTCAATCACTACCGGTATTAAAGTGGAATCATAATTCAGGTCATGTTTTGGCTCAGCTATTCAAAAAGACAGTTACCGGTAAATTATTTCAAAAAAAAATAATTCATTTTGAGAAATATTACTTGTTATAATTGATTTAAAAAATTGACGGAAATTAGAAATTTCCAAACAACCAGAATTCCACTGAGGCTGTGAAAGTACATCAACCTTGCCCTGTTTCTACGATAGTTAATTTCCAGAAGTTTTCCTCATTTGGAGTCTTAACAGGAACTAAGGTTTCCTGTATTATTTCTGTGCTGTGTACTGTTTTGTTTAATATGAGCAGCTGCAAATGAGGAGTAGTTGCAGTGGCGGATTTAGAGCCAGGTGTTTTTGTATCCAATTGTTACTGCAATCAAACCAGATTAATTGGCCATTATTAAACAGGGACTAAATGTGGTTTTGGATTGGTGGCCACTCTGTTTAGTTCATGTACATGTATACTGTGGCCTATAAAAAAAAACTGGCCTGCAATGGGTGGCAAGTTGCCACAGAGTGGAGGCCATTACAAACTGGTGGCCAAATCTACAATTTATACAGTTTTGTTTGCTGTGGCCTGTTAAAAAAAACACTGGCCTGCAACAGTTGGCAATTTGCCATTGAGTACAGGCCATTATGAACAGCAGGTGGCTACTTGAATACCAGGTAAAAAGAAATTGCCGCTGGGTGCAGGTGACCACTTAGTGCAGTTTCATGTACTATGGTTAGTAAAAAAAAAAGTAAACTGGCCTGCAACAGTTGGCACTTTTCCACAGAGTGCAGGCCATGATGAACAGGTGGCCACTCTGTACAGTTTCAAACAAAAGTATGCCATTCGCAGTAGGAATTTTGCCACAGCCTGCAGGCCATAATAGACATATAAGGTTTAATCTATGTGGCCACTGAATGTTGGCCTGCAACGGATGGTAGTCTGGCAGTCAGTGAAGGCCATTATAAACTGATGTCCAAAATGGCAGGTTTGACTGTAAGCATACATATTTTTGCATGAATAAATTACTCCTTAGATGTGTAGTGCATGGATATGGATGTACATGTACGTCTATAAATATTGCATGAGTGTTATTTATGGAAAAACCTCTGTGATATCCATGTTTAAAACCAATATTTATAGTTCTCTGTCAATTTGCATGAACTTTTCATTTCTTTTATTGTTTACTTGTCGTATACTGAAGAAAACAAATTGTTGTAAAATTGATATTCCTGTGTGCCGTAACTTCCAATCAGCGGCTTTATTTCCAAGAATATAAATCTCAAATGCTTTCATTATATTCTCTCAGTCATTGACATTTTCCCTGAATCCCTGTTTTCCTGTTTTTAACATTCATATTTCTGACCCCTAGATTCCGGAATTGTTTAGCTCATAAATTAAATAGCCCAAGTAGCTTTGCTGGTACCAGCTACATGTACAAAGATCAAACACATGTCCGCGTACCCTGCTTTTAATACTTCATAGTTTTATGGTTAAATGTTTATGGACTTCACACTTTATTCCTCATAAAGTCATGAAAGTACACATGTACATTTCTTTGTATTTAATGACTCGTGAGATGAACAATTTTATAGCTTCATTTTTTTTTCTACGAATGTTTTGCCTAACACTGCTTCCCCGAAATCAAAAAAAAAAAAAAAAAAAAAAATGGCCCAAAAAAAAAAGGAGATAATGAATTAGGCAAAAAAAAAAAGTTCTGCTTTCATGGCATTCGAAAATTCGGAATTTTTTTTTTTTTTTTTTTGGGCCATTTTTTTTGTGTACGATCATATGGAGGCTTCTGCATGTAGTCAAAGGTAAAAGATAGATTTTGATGGTTTTGGGTGGTTTTTTTTCTTCGAATTTTTCCCATAAAAAATTAGGGTAGAGGCTGTCAGAATAGGGTAGGTAGGGAAACCGGAAGCAGAAGTATTTTTGTTGTGGGCCTTATTAAAATCAAAAATATACTAACAGGTGCCGAATGAATGATAAAATATTTTGAGCAAAATTTCAAAATTATATATTTTTTTCAATCCCTAGATCAGAGCATTTCATCAATCGAGAGCCCGACAGAGGTCAAAGGAAAGGAAGACGGATCTGAAGGTATGAATAGTCATGTCCTCATTTGCATATTTGCATATTCAAATTCATATTTGAATAATTGTGGTGTTAAGTATGTATCCATAGTACAGTCGAGCAATGAAATGGCTTTATTAATACAAAGACAATGCTTTACAAATACATGTAACAAAATACAAAATGAAAAATAATTTGGCACAAATATTGTTGTTTACATGATTATTTCAAATGCTACTTTTTTATTTATTTATTGAAAATATAATGTGGACAGTGACAATTTGCGTAATTGCTCGGGGAACAGATACCGTTGATAACGCTCCCGTCTTATTAAATATTCATGCCGCCGTTTAGATTGAAAGCCGAGTCGTATTTACCCAAAACTAGAGAAGGGAGGAAAGAAAACACAGGGAATGTGATTAACTCCGCGTCGCGGAATATTTTGTCGTTTACCGTTATTGGCAGCTATTCCCTCCCATTGTCATGCATGCAATATGGGCACGGCTTTGCCGTTATGGTGTTAGCGTGAAGCACAAACAAGCAATACGAGCGCTGCGCGAGCGACACACATGTGCAAGGTCAGCGATGCATGCAGTCAGGGTTCTTGCACGATTATTGCAAAAACGGAAGCTTCGTATACTGAACATGTACGCATCATACTGTTCATGTATGGTGTGTAGTGCATATATACGGTAGTCAGTGAGTCGACAAACATGACTTGCACTAAAAGCCAATTTATCTACGTCGGTGTGTCGTCATAAACCTTTCAACATTTTTATGTGAAGGAAAAATAAAACAGTTTTTTAGAATTGTGGAAAACCCATATTTATGTTGATATAAATGTTAAAGGGAATATACAACATTTGCAAACATCGAAAAATAAAACTACCAAGTTTTTACGAAATACCTTAATAGGATGTTGGTAAATGACAGTCTAAAGCATCCTGTAAAATTATGGCACCTGGTGTGAAGTCATTTTCAAGAAAATGGTATTTTTGTGAAAATTTCCAGCGGTGGTCGGTCGACCACCGTTGGAAAAACCTAACTATTTTTCAACTACTGCTCCAAACTTACCATTAATTCAGTCCAAATTTGTTTTGCTATTGGTTACATGTTCATGGACGGGTGCAGGCCAACTAGACTGGTACCCTTACCTTACAATTTTCCGGCATCTGTAAATTGATCCATTTTATATTTAGTGGAGTCAGGGAACCAGACTACTTGAACAGTTTTGTTTTTCTTGGTTTTTCCAGCATTATTGAACACAAAACTTCAAACGCTGTCAGTGTGACAATATTTGATCTATTATACTAACCCCTCAAATAGTTCATTTCTGAAAATGACAGCAAAAGCCAATGATGTATTTAATGTGAAAAAGAGACAAAAAAATATCTTTCAGAGGTTTCTGTCATGCAACTACTTTGTTCAGTTATTTTTTATCTCCAATAAAAAGCTTGTGAAGCTCATTTTTCGGAGATAAGTCTATTACAGTCATTGCCCGAATGCCCATTATTCAATTCAGAGAATTAAAATGTAATTTGCAAGTTTCCAATGAAATTTCAGATAAATTGTAAAATCAAAAATTGATTAAGCGTCTTCATGTCCTGCACGCCTCAAGGCTGGGAATTCTCTCCAAAGAGGAAGAGGAGAGGCATTTCAAAGTGACAGAGCAATTTACTTCCAAATTTGGCGAGAAAAGATGTCATACAAAATTGAATTCCATCGTCTAAACTATGAAACGCTTTTCCCCCCGGTTTTCCCGACAACGGCTTTTTTCCCCGCCGGCGTTAACGTCATCAAAGCGTCACCGGAAACTGGCGTCCTGATGGACTGCGGGATTTGATTACCGGAAAAATTGGGATTTCGTTTCCAAAAATTGTGGGCATTTTACACCAGGGGAGGTCTGTTACATACATCGTCTCCTGGGTCCTTTATTGCACTCGATGCTGCGCCCAAGTTGAATAGTGTCATGTACCGTAAAACATGTAGAATGTATTCGTTATGTACATTGTAAGTAGTAAAGTCTGTCACGAGATAATGTGGCCCATCAGGCCAGCGTTTATCTCCGGTTGCAGTAGCATGAAACGACTGAGAATAATTCCCCCTGGATGGGATGCTAGTCCATCGCAGTTACTCCCCAGCTAATGCCGGTACCCATGTATACTCCTGGGTGGAGAGAGGCAAGTGTGGATGAAGTGGCTTGCCCAAGGACACAACATATGGCCAGCAGCTGGATTCGAACCCCTGACCCTCTGATCATGAGTCGCAAACCCTAACCACTAGGCCGCACTCGTCCCACCGTGTACATTGTAGGGTGTGCATTCTAGGATGTGAATTCAGTTTCAAATTAAAGGTGCCGGTTCATATACATTGTAATGGACACCATTTGCAACAACAAAAATGTGTTTTTGACGTTTCAAGGAGCAACATGTCTGAAGCAGATTATTGAGAAACTACGTGTAACCTATCGAACTTTCAGCTCAGTAGTTATACTTTTTGAGAAAACTGTGAAAACGCTTCTTTCTTTCGACACAAAGCATTAGGTTCCGTTTTCTCAAAAATTGAACTGTTGGGTGCTAGTCACGATTCTTGCCGCGCATGTTTAACCAGTGCATCACGTGCGATGTGTATTGGTGCTGTGTGAATTGTGTGTCACACGCAACGTGTATTTTACATTGAATGGACACGGTTGGACATACGTATGCGTATGCCACGAGATGTCCGCCACATCAGAAGTAAACAACCGGGATTTTTCGTATTGTCTCGGGAACAGCGCGACATTAGGTTAGTTTCCTTTCAACCAGACCTTTGGAATAGGATAAGTTAACAATCCAAAACATAAAATTTTCAGGTTTTTCAGGCCGTGACATCCCTTTAAGCATTCTAAATATATTTGTACAAACCATAGAGCTACATGTATATTAAATTACTAGAGCGCTAACTCCTCATTCTTGCGTGCGGAGACGCTTTGAAGCCGTCCTGGGCGCAGACATTTTGAATTCATGCGCGTGTTTGTAGAACATAATGAAATCAGATGGATTGAATTTTGAAAGTGTACTCTACATGCAACGCGCAAGTAGAACATACAATGTACGCAAACAACTTAAGCGCGTCATGACAGTTCAAAAAAACGTCACGGCAAAAAGCATCTGCAGCGAATATGCGCACGCGTTGCGCTGTTTGCGTAGAGCAAAATGAAACGCTCATTTGCTGATCGTGTGTTTCAGTTTTGGGCGTATCGGCTTCGATAACGCACCGGTATGGAATACAAATGCAGATATGCAAATAGCCGTACAAAAGCCGTACAAAATTGCTAGCTCTCCATAGGTTTGTGTACAAACATGGATGCGCCCATCAGGCATTACTTTGTACATCGAGTTAGCGCTCTAGTAATTTAATATAGCTCTATGGTACAAACTGTATTTTTGACTAAACAAAGATACTGAAAAGTTGGTAAAGATCCAACATCTGCAATTGGTACCGTACATTGTTTCTGTCGTGTTCCGCGCCGAAGGTCACATGTTCAATTCCTACCTTTGCTTCGTCCGTTTTGTTTTTCAGCTTTAAAAAAAAAAAAAAGTTTTTCATAGAACTTCAGTTTGTCTATATGGAAATTTGTCTTTTCCAGAAATTCGCTATCAGATGCCAAGGAATGTTTTTGCATTTTGTTATTTTTTTCAGGGTAGCCATTTGAGCACTGCAGATTTTTGTAAAATTTTTCCTACCATTTCTGTAGTTTTGAATGAGAGATTCATTTTAGTCGTTTAACAGTTTCATAATTTATCAGATCGGTACTATGCAAAGCCTCATGCAAGTCAATGGCTGCATGGGGACACAAACATAAAAGTTGTCAATATTGCCAAACTAATGAATAAACCATTTTTAAAATGACAGGGTCGACCGAATCAAAATAAAAATTGCATAGTTTTGCGCAGAGTCATTGATTATTCAAGGAAAACATGGACCTGGATTGGAAAGGGTGGCTTTGTATTTTGTTTTCTTTGAACTGCTGTCAAAAAAAAAATTGCCTCAAATTTATTTATAATATTCATAGTTTGCCATCAAAAGCAGGGGCCGCAAAATGCTAGAACTGATCATTTGCATGTTGGATTTCGTCAACAAAGATAGCGCTTGTCGTGGTTCAGGTTGTTGAATGCATTCACGGCTTCAGCAGGTGCATTGTCAGCAGTAGCCAAGCAAGACAATTGCAACAGCATTTTGGCTTCCTTCCCCCACCCCAAAACCCCCTCCCAACCCCTCACACCCACGCCAAACCCGCCCCCACCCCCACCCCACCTCCAGCCCAACCCCACCTCCACCCCAACCCCACTTCCACCCCAACCCCACTTCCACCCAACCCCACTTCCACCCAACCCCACCTTCAACCCAACCCCTCCTCCACCCCTACCCCTCCACCCCAACTCCACCCCACCCCAACTCCACCCCACCTCCACCCAACCCCACCTTCAACCCAACCCCTCCTCCAACCCAACCCCTCCTCCACCCCTACCCCTCCACCCCAACCCCACCTCCACCCCAACCCCACCTCCACCCAACCCCACCTCCATCCCAACCCCAACCCCACCTCCACCCCATTGCAACCCCCAACCCAACCCCCAACTCCACCCAAACCCCCTCCCAACCCCTCACACCCACCCCACCCCACATCCACGCAAACCCCACCCCAAACCCACATCCACCCCACCCCCACCCCAACCCCACCTCCAGCCCAACCCCACGTCCACCCCAACTCCACGTCCACCCAAACCCCACTTCCACCCAACCCTTCCTCCACCTCAACCCCTCCTCCACCCCTACCCCTCCACCCCAACCCCACCTCCACCCCACCTCCACCCGACCCCACCTCCAACCCAACCCCTCCTCCACCCCTACCCCTCCACCCCAACCCCACCTCCACCTCCATCCAACCCCACCTCCACCCCTACCCCTCCTCCACCCCTACCCCTCCACCCCAACCACACCTCCACCCAACCCCACCTCCATCACAACCTGAACCCCACCTCCAC